CCATTAAAAACTTACTATAAAAGTTGATACACATAAATTTAGTATTTATCACACAATCGATTTCATGTAAATATTTATTCATTATTTAAGTATCTATAGAAAATATCTTTAAAATAATCTKAATTGAAGTATTTATTTACTATACTCAATACTACCAAAAAAAAAAAAATAAATAAATAAATATATAACATAGGAAATCACGAAAATAATGATGTACCCATAAATTATTTTGATTAGTTAAAACATGTGTATTATTTGCGTAATTTTATTTTATTCTCGTTTTGCTTTTATGGTATAGAAAAATTTAGAAATGTGCTTCCAAACAGTTTTTACGCCATAATAAAGTAATATCGAGACGACAAACGCAATGACTAAAAGTGTGCTGATTACATCAATCAAAAAGTATTGGTACCACGTCAGATTCAGACCATGATATTTTAAGTGTGGCGCTCCTTTATGACGCAAAACGTAATCCGTCCAGTARACCACAGATTCTGCAGGCGACATGGGTCGATCTTTAAACAACTTGGAAGCAATTTTGGCGTTTTTCTGATACCTGTACACAATAGTTGTATAAAGTGAGAATTGTTATTGAGTTTTATTGAAAGACATAAMATTTCTCACCTATCGTTGTTGACCATCTTAGAAACGGCGTTGAACAACGTTTTTTCAGTGACTGATAACAGGTCTATACTGATCGCCATACCGGCAACTACCAAGTTGTCAATATTTCTCGATTGATCGTAAAAGAACGGGAATCCTARTACAGGCACACCCGCGTCCACTGCCTCGTACACTCCAGACATTCCTCCATGACTGATAAACAGTTTTACATTAGGATGCACTAAAAAGTAAGTTCGGAATTAAATTATTATAATACTATATATAGTTATATAGTCTAGTATATTAATAGTAGCAATACGACATGATATCAGTAACTAGTCGCGTACTAAGTATGTCACGTTGTGGAAACCATTTACGAGTCATAACGTTCTTTGGTTTGTCTTTCATTTCACCATCGTATTTCCACAACACCTTYTGCGGAACCCTGGACAGCGCCTCCCGGAACGCGCCCTGAACGTTTTCCGGTAACGACGACATCGAAACTATAGATCCAAATGTAAAGTAGATCACTCCGTGTGTCGCGTCTTCGATGAATTCCAAAATATCCTTTTAAAAATTAAGCCATTTGTATGAATAAAACATAGGTATTTTAAGTTTTTAAATTCTACTGTAAAGCCATCACTAGGTGTCTCTAATGAGGGATTTCCTACCATGTTATCATTAGTTCATAGTTTTTCTTTCTATTCGCCATAATTATTACTTATTGTACTCCCCTGTATGGATTGTAATATTTCAAAATAAAATCATATTTAAAAAAAAAAGTTTTTAAATTTCATAATAATTCGAACGTTATATTGCAGGAAACTAAGTATCTGCGCGCGTATRGCGGTTTAACGAATCACGTTGCTATATTATGTGTGTTACATATAAGGTCTGTAAAATCTAAATCATATGAGTTAACCTAACCACTTAATATAATTTCTTATAAACATACGAAATTATAAAAAAWTGGTGCATTTATGCATATATTAGCACAGTGATTCTCATAATTCGTAATTCTGTAGGTATAGGTTAGGTACAAAAGTTTGAACTTTCATAAAATATAGGTAAGGTAACTCTAGAAATGATGCTTGGATGATTTTCTTATCASCTTAATTCTTTATAATATHGATGATAAACCAAATATTTATTTTATTTTCATTTAATGCAGATATGTCCACGACCTGCTAGATTGCTCTCACTTCCCGAAGAGCTCCGTAGAGCACACCTTGATAACTACTGTACAAAACTAATATTATTGTTTGGTCACCTTTGAGAGGATGTCAGAGCGCAATATTTATTTTTTTTCTGGCCCACGTGGCCACGCACAGTATAGATAAAACGCTTTCACTTATAATTCTATAATCGATTGTTTTAAAATTTTTGAGTAGATGATCTTAGAGTGTAAAATAACATGCTATACAAATTATGAAGTATAATATTTTTTAGGTTATGACATATCAGTTTTATATTTTGTTATTATTTGAATTTATATTCGATTTAAAAAAAAAAAATGCATATTTAAATGATTTTTAAATGGTTTTGAAACAATATTTAGGCAAACCGATATGTCACACTATCAAAAATATTATTCTTGGTAATTTTAGTAATGAATAATTTCACTCTATAAGATTAATAAAAATATCAAAAAAATGCGTTTTGTCCGCGTGGGTGAAAGAAAAAGAAAACACAGATCGCGCTGACATGCTCTTTATGTATGTTAATGTAAATTTACAGGTGTTATCCAACTTAAAGTTAAGAACATTATTATCTATGTTTGGATATAAACATTTTTAACGAATTATGATATATTGTATAATAATAATATGTACTGTGAAAAATACGTATACTCTCGTACAACTACTAGAAATCAATAAAAATTGATAACGTTCTTACCTTTACGTTTGATAACAATGTGGGTGTGATGTCCTCTTTATTACCTTTGGTATCGGTTCGGGTGGGGTTAGATGTATGCCGCCGATTTGTACGATGTCCGGCGTCAGCGGTCTAGACGGTTCGCTGATGAAATGCGTGTTGGTGAAAATCACCGACGGTTTGACCAGATSGACGGCATCGTAAGGCCGAGGGTCTGTCCGCCGCTGCTTCCATTCGGCGTACCACGTCAACGTTGAACAGTACACCGTTAGCGCCGCGTTGGCAAATCGTTCTGCAAACGTTTTGGGAGTTCCGTGGCCAGACAGCAAGTGCCCCGCGGCCGCCGGGTTCGAGAAGTGTCCGGTCAGCGGACGTTCGTGGAACGACGCGAGCGGCGATGACAACACGTGCACCATAGGCACGCCAAGAACGGTGGCCACGTACGCCACGCACTCTGACATAAACGGTTCGGTGACTACCAAGTCGAATTGTTGGCCCACCCCGTTCATGATGTCCGCCATCAGTCGGTGTCCGTAAATCGCATCGCAACTCGCTCGTGTGATGTTCACCATGATCGGCATCAAGTTCCGCGTGCTGCTGATCGTTTCAATCAGGTACGTGGCATCCACGTCCAAGAGCGGTGGCCTTTGCACTGCAGACACGTCCACCTCTGTGTAACCTTCCCGGTTACCGTCCAGGGACGAAGTGAACACTGTCACGTTGTGGCCGCGGTCCGTCAGCACTCGCAGCACGCGTCGCATCATGTTCCAGTGACTCTTGTCTGGCACCGTAGGCACCGCTAGGATGTTCGCGGCACCGACTTCGGTCCACTGGAATATTGCTGGACACGCACAAAATACAATCAACATTGACACGAAGCTCGACATGGTTTTTCACCGTTTTCTGTCACACAATATRAAATAATCTTTATTACGGAGAGAAAAACTCAAGTTACAAACACAGTATAGTTACTCGATAGTTCGAAATTCAACGGACCGAGTTAAAAATTTGATTTATAGAGGTTTTCGATTTACCGAGTGCATATGTTTGAATAATCGAGGGAAAAAAATTAATTCAAATTAAAAAGAGGTAAACAATTGTATGTATGTACAAATTACATTTATTTATTATAAATACATATATTTTGCAATTATTAATTGACATTTATTTATTATATTATTATATTTTACATAATAAAGAAATCTGTTATTTATTTTATTTTTTTGTGATAAATTGCTGGCCACAATCTGGTCCATATAGCGTTGTCTAACTTACTGATAGTAAGGTTTTAATTCTAATTATAGAGTATGTCCCACCGACAGACATTTCGTATTATCGAGGGGACTGGAATACATGTATTTTCTTCTAATTATAGAGGTTTTCTCAGGGGACTGCGCGTTTAGTTCGATTTATGGAGTTTTTCGAATTATTGAGTAAAAACTGTAATAAGTTAATAACACATTGAGGAACAGTATAATATACCTAACATAAGTAATAATTGTTCCCTTAATAACATTTTAAATTATTAATTATGAATTTTTATTTTTCATATTTAAACACGATGGGAACTCATTTTTAATACTACCTTCATTAAAAAAAAATCGACAAAAACCGTATTATTTGCTACCATAAGAAACACTTATAGGAAAAGATACCAACATACTTGCTTATGTAGAACATTTCTCTAGTTCACTTATCAGTTGTAGGTACCTACTTCAAATAAAAAGCACTCGATAAGAGCAATCGTTTTGGACGTTTTGTTCATTTCTTTTATAATGTACCTAGCGTATAAATACTGACAAAACTTAAAACTCCGCAACATACACCGAAATGAGTTCTCGTTCATCATGGCATATTTTGAAGGAAAAACATTTTAAGAAGTTATTAAAAATTTACTTTAAGTCATGAATTTGAGTAATATGATTATTGAACCAAGTATGTGRAAGTTTCAAGGCAAGACCTCATAGATAACAAAAATAAACCACTTAAAGGCGGTATAAGATTGAACAAATAACTCGTAGGAGTTTGTTCTTAAGAAATATTAAGCTTTAATTTATACATATATATATTATATATATATAGTATATATATTCTGCATATTATTATCTTTGACAGTTAACTTAAAATATGGTATGATCTATAGTAATATTGTAGGTACGTATAGGTGACGTGTAGGGTTCGGTGTATAGCTACATATGTTATCGTGGTAAAACGTCAAACTAACTTGTTTTTTGCAATAGAATATTATACAAAAACATGATTATATTTTAAAAATTARATGTACGCACTGAAATATATTAAGTATTATTCATTAGGTTATAATTATGTACAGACAATGTTGTTCATAATTTTGAACGAATAAAACTTAACCTAATAATTTTAAATTCATCATTGCTATACAGTATAATTTACATTTTTAAACTTAGTTATATTTATTACTAAATTAGCTGCCTAACTGTTTGTATAGCGTTTTAGGTACGTTAGAATAGTTTCTTTTTCTTTTCCTTCGCCTTCTCTTCTACGTTACAATAGTTGATAAAATATAATATGTTTAGATAAATAACCTATGTGTTATGYAATATAAAAACACTTTTACTCACTTATGATGTGTTGAATGTTTACTCGAGCACCAAAGAAGAAACTTTCGTATAATATGTGACTACTACATACACAATAATATAAAATCTTTGCCGGTCRCATTTAAAGCATACACAATTTGAGAAGATTAAATCCATACATCCATATACCAATTATATTGCAATGACTATTTTTCATTTATAGGATACTTCAATCAAATCACTGATGGAAAGATAATTTATGGTCAATGTATATAAATGAAGTAATAGTTTGCTTATAACTTATAAGTAAGTACTTACTCACTAAAATAATAAATGTTAATATGAAATAAACAGTAAACATCTTAAAATTTATTCGATCTAAGTTTAACCACTCGAACGATAAAAACTTGTGTGAACGTCACGTCCGTCACGATAGGTGTYACAAAGCATATACAGTGTAGATTATCRTTTATCACATACGTTTAGYAAGCTGCATATTGTCACGTCGTTTTCATAGTTATWGACTCAGAGGCCAGTGAGTAAATTTAACTTGAATAGATAGTGTGTATAGACGTATAGTCGCTATATATCAATAAACGTATTTAACTTAACCAGTATGATGATATTATGTACAAGGTATACTAGGCATATTTTTTTTATCGATATAAAATAAGAATTGTATGCTGATACARAAAAAAATTATATGTGATTTCATTTTTTTCAAAAACGATCTTTTGTAATACTGTATTCAAATCATATCTAGAAAAAATAATGAATACATATAGTCTGTTTTATCACAAGTTCATAAACCACTGGCGTAGTCAGGATTTCTAAAAGGGAGAAGGACAACAAAAAATATTAATAAATATAATTTATATATTATGGCTGTATTGATTATACACCGTAGGTGCTTATAAGTATCATAAATACTTATCACATATTATATGATTTATGATATACTTGATGTACTGATATAAACAATCAGCGCCCATTTATAACTTTAAAATAAACAATCGCTGGGTTCGATGTAAAACATCGTCTCCGTATAAATAATATCATAAATAATTACTTATGGTATCGGTTCGGTCGCGCAGTCGGTGTGAAAAAAATGACGTATGAACCGCCTAGTTGCACGATGCATCCGGTACTATTGCTATATTATACGACGGGCGATATACGTGGTTCGGTGAAAAATCATCAGACCGGATGCTGACCGAATGGCGCACGGTTTAATAAACAGATTAATTCTGGCATTAAGGGTGTACAGCTAAGGATCGTTCCCCTGGAGCTACTGTTCAATTGGGGCCACATCATCATCATCGACGTCGAACCTATAAGAGGCGCAGACCGTCAGCGCTACACATCGGCATTTCRYTCGGCGGCCAATGTTTTAGAAGCGCTGCGCTCGGAAACCACGTGCGTTATATAGAGACGTACACTCAATACATTTTTAGGAAAAAAGTAAACATGCGTTCTTATTACTTTACAGAGTCAATTAGTTATTGTACAGTTATCAAAATAGAACGAGCCTATGAACTTTCGATTTGCTTTATTTTTTCGAATGGTCRAATGCATTTATCCGTTTGAATACTGTTTTCAGTGCGTTATGATAGTCACAATTACAAATGTGTGGCCAGTGCTCGCTTCACTTACCTATGTAATGCATTAAACATCCGAATAAACTAAGAAAGAAGCAGTAATACGTTCGTTTATGGAACGATACCATAAAATTATCATATTATAATTATACAYAGGTACCTGCAATTTTAATAAAAACAAAACGCTAGATTGACCGATGATTGAAGTAATTAAAGGTCTCATATTTTAAACTGAAAACTGCTAAATTTCAATAAATATAGGTACATCATTAATAAGGATTGAGATTATTAAGATTTAAATAATATTAACAACTAAATATTATTTAACTATAAAAACTACTAGAAAGACAAATCAATCATACTCGAATATGGAAAAAAATGTAATAAAAGTCGATTTTAGGTAAAAATAAGTTCAAGAAGCATAAGRTATTCAAATAAAAAACATTACGCGGGATTAATAACCATTTAAGTGTTGAAGCGTTTGAAGAAAAAATGTTGAGGTTGTTCAAAGCTAGTGGATTAATTCGRATATGAGGGAGCCAAGAAAGTCAGTAATCTAGTGAAGACTTGGATAGTTAATACCGTGGTAAAACTTTTAGCTTTTGAAGAAGTTTTTCGAATTTAATAATTTATGTTTACAGACTTTACACTTTTACAGTACCTTGACAAATTTAAATGCGTTTAAATATTTAATAAATTKTTATATTTATTTACTTATTTGTCCCGACAAACATCAAACGAGACGCCTTTTGTCCCGTTTTTAGAAGATGATCCCTTGTAATCCCGTTTTATCCTTATTATTATGTGTAAAATAAAATATATTAAGCTTTTTCAACATTATTTAAATTGTTAGATAAAAAACTTATTAAAAAATGGTCATGGTTTTTTTTTTAGAGTATCTACCTAAAACTGTTTGTCCCATTTATTTTTTTATAAGAATGATCACCCGCCTACCTTAAATGTAAGTGCCTAGTAAATGGTAATGAAATATGGTAATGTTTAGTATGGAATGGTTAATATCGATAAAAAGTCGAAATATGTACTGAAATAGATAATTTGGTCATATAGTTATAAAAATAAGTTAAAGATTATAAAATTTACTATACTTATAATACTATTAAACTTGGCTTATGAACATTTAAATTTATGAACATAAGCCAAGTAACTACTCRAACGATGAGAGCCTGGAGTGAAAATGTCACGATACCGCAAAGTGTATTGTCGCATAGTATTTTGTGATTGTAGGGCTCAGGTTCAGTGGGTTAACTTAACTTGAATAAACAGTTTAGTCACTAAACAACAATTTACACACATAATAACTTTTTCCTTTATGATAGCACATACAAGAGGAAGGTACCTATARTTCTGTCTTCAGAGGACTCCACACCCGCGTATGTTGTCTCTACCTTACGAACGTACAATATGTAAAAAAAATTGTAGCGTGGTAACTTTACCCCCTCTTTATTTATAATACCATAACCGAAATTTTACAACGCATTGGGAAAAACTTAATGTGCTGCAGCGTTTTTTTTTTTTTATACAGGGCGATTCTTTTAAGTGGGTACACTAATTATCTCGAAAAGTATTTACTTTTTTCAAAATATTTTTTTAAATGGTTTCATGTTGTTAAAAAACCAACGTTTTTATTAAAAAATTATATTTTTTATCCTTATCATTTTTTAAGTTTTTTACTTTTTTGAATGACAACATAGAGTTTTAATTTCATATTCAAAAGCAGAATATTTTTCTAAGTATTTTGATTCATAATAATCGAATTTAGGACGAGTAGTTTATGAGTTATATGAATTTAAAGTTTTGACAAGCGGAGTAGTGGACAAACATTTTACGGGGTAACCCCGTACCACTCCACTCTGCCAATCTAAACTTTAAATACTTATAACTCAAAAACTACTCGTCCTAGATTCGATTTTCAGACAAATTGAAAATTTCAGTCGTCTATAAATATCTCAAAAAAAGTCAAAATATTTTGAAAATTAATTCATGAAAAGAAAATGCCAATCTAAATAACTGATAAAATTTTCAAGTATCTACGACGTATACTTTTTGAATAATAACAAATATTTAAAATCGTTTGAGGATAAATCGTTATCGTAACGCTATTTCGTAAAAATTTAAAATTCAAACGCACTTAAAATTTTTCCTATAATGATGCTTCGAGTTTTCTCTATAGCTACTTGAAGGAAAACTTATCAAAAACTTAGTGTTGTATTTTTAATCCTTAGTTATAAACGCAAACAATTTTATGATTTTTCAACTTCAAAATTACTTGCAAATTTTCGCATTTTCGACAGATTTCGTAAAATTTTGAACTATAAACGCTTATTAAAAAAATTGTGACTTACGATTTTTAAATTTTTTTAGCTACAATAAGAACAACTCATAAGGTACCTTGTATTCACTTTACAAGTTTTTTTGGTCGTCCAAAATTTTTTACCAACACTTCAAAAAAAAATTGAAAATTTCAGTGGTCTATAAATAACTCAAAAAAGTTAAAAAATTTTGAAAATTATGCTGTATATAGATAAAACTAACATAAACATTTGGTGAAAATTTCAAGTATTTACAGTGATTATATTTTGAATGACAACCATATAAAAAAATCGATTTGGTCGAAAATTGATTTTGCGTAAAAATACCCGTTTTTCTTTCATTTTTTTGTTGTTTTTCTCGATTTTGTTGAAAACTATTGGAAAATGTTAACTTTTGACCTCTATAATGCACCAAACATCTTCAATTTTACATCGGAAATCACCCCCAAAGTTTGAAATCGAAGCATTATTTCRACTAGTTATGCTKTACACAGACACAAAAAAAAAACACACATCATTGTAAAATCAATACATTCATCACTTCGTTCAGAATCTAAAAAAAAAGAAAAGAAAATATAACACATTATGTATTTAAAAACCGTTCATATGCAATACAAATTTTTAAAGTATAGAAATATGTAGTGCATGTCAAAAATATGTCAAAATATGCGAAATAAAACTTTGTATTTCAGATTTATTAACTATTATTAAAACTTATAGCTTCCTAACTATTTTTTGGACTGTTTAGAAAAAAACACACAAATGCATATAAATTCGGGCCCTAAATTAAACATTTATTATACGAGTACACTATTTTTAACAAGTAAAACATTTATTATCTGTGTACTTTAATTTTATTTTATTCACGTTTTTCTTTGACACTATTAAATAATGTTGAAATRTGTTTACAAATCATTTTTAAACTGTAATAAATTATGAAATAGACAATAAACCAAATGAATAAAAATGTGATTATTACATCAATTAAAAAATATTCATACCACTGCAGGTTAAGAGCGTGAGATTTTAAATGTGATGCTCCTTTATGACGTAAAATGTACTCTGTCCAGTAAACCACAGATTCTGCAGGTGACATGGGTCGATCTTTGAACCGTTCAGAAGTGATTTTAGCGTTTTTCTGGTACCTGTGTTAGATATACATCACAGTAGTGGTGAATATCAATTTAACATTTTATTAAATGGCGTAAACTTCCTCACCTGTCGTTGTTGACAATCTYCAAAATAGCATTTAAAAACGTCTCTTTGGTGACGGAAAACAAGTCCATAGATATCGCCATCCCAGCGTCGACCAGATTATCAATATTTCTCGGTTGATCGAAGCAAAGTGGAAACCCGAGTACAGGCACAGCTGCGTCAACAGCTTCGTATACTCCAGATATTCCTCCATGACTGATAAACAGTTTCATATTAGGATGCACTACATAATAAAAATAATGCCAGATTAAAATTAATAATTAACATTATAATTCAGTATGTAAAATGTGATGGTATACAGTATAACTGTATAGTCTATAATATATATTTATACATGTCATAATTTCAACATATCTGCACGTACAGAGAATATCCCGTTGTGGAAACCATTTCCGTATCATCACATTTTTTGGTATACCCGTCATTTCACCTTCGTATTTCCACAGTACTTTTTGCGGAACCCGAAAGAGAGCTTCTCGTAACGCGCTCTGAACATTTTCCGGTAACGACGTCATCAAAATCGTCGAGCCTAACGTAAAATAAATCACACCATGAGGCGCTACGTCGATGAATTCCAATATGTCCTGTTAAAAATGTAGACCTTATTAAGTATGGCACYTGTATAATTCCCAAGGTGTTATAAACTTATAAAGTATATAACTAATATCAAATAAACAAACTGTAATAGACTATATTATATTGAATACCTTTGGTATCGGTCCTGGCGGTGTTAGATGGATGCCGCCGATTTGCACGACGTCCGGTGTCAGTGGCCTCGAAGGTTCGGTGATGAAGTGCGTGTTRGTGAAAATTACCGACGGTTTGGCCAGATCGACTGCATCGAACGGCCGGGGATCGGATTCTCGTAACCGGCGATCTTCTTGCCACAAAATCCATGAAACGTAAATCGTTTGCAACGTGTTGGCGAAACGATCGACAAACTTTTTGGGAACGCTACGGTGGAACAGCAAGTTAGAGACGGCCGCAGGGTTGGCGACGTGACCGAAGAATGAACGTTCCGTGTACGTGATTATKGGCGGTGGGACGACGTATATGACGGGAACGCGGAGAACGGTGGCCGCGTACGACACGCAATCCGAAATGAGCGCATGGGCGACCACCACTTCAATTGAATGCGATCGGCTGTCCAAGAAGAGTTCTCGCATCCGCGGATGTTCGAATATGGTTCCGCAGTTGTTCCGGGTAGAGTTCAAGTTGAACGCGATCATCGTCCGCGTAGACTGAAAACTTTTAAAGTGCGATACGTTCATCCCGACCCTCATCACCATGGCGTCAGATACGTCCACCTCGGTGTAAAAAGGACGATCGCCGTCCAAAAACGGTGTAAACACGGTCACGTTGTGGCCGCGGTCAGTCAATGCCCGTAGTACGGCCCGCATCATGTTCCAATTGCTCTTGCCGCCGTGCGTCTGCACCGCCAAGATGTTGGCTGCATCGATCGGCGTCCACGGCAGGAATGGTGTTGAACACGCACATAACGTGATCATTAGCACCAAGAAACKTAATCTCGTGGTTTTCATTGTATAGTTCCTTAAGTTCTGTTAAAACSAACTGTAAATTAAGAAAATGGGCATTGCTGCATGCATTAAACATAATACACATAGCACGTTATTGGCTACTATTTTAGATTCTGATTGAAGGTATGAATTGTATAGACTTTGCAATAAGATGTTTTTTTTTTTCATTCTCGGTATAGGACAAAGGTTGTAGAAGTACTTAATAAATGTCGGTTTGATAAAAAAAATTTTTAAAAAAGAGATTTTTTACTTGAAACTGATTTTAGTTGGTATTATACCAAATTATGGGGAACCTTGTATTGATTATTCAAGTTTTTTACAGTGAATAAAATTTTTTTGACATTTAAAGAATAAGATCTAAATAAAACGGCAAATTTAAAAAGTCTATAAGGTTAGGTTAGACTTACTTAAAAAAGGTTAGAATATTTTGACAATTTTATCAAGTAAAGAAATTAATAAAATAAACATATGGTGTAAATTTAAAATGTTTACAGTTATTTGTTTTTGAATAACAACAAAATAATAAGTACCTATGTCGGTACAAAAAAATTTAATGAATATCCAATATTGTATTTCAAATGCTCATAAAAATTTAATTCGATTTTCCGGTAGCAATGTTTATTTGATAAAAGTAGACTCATGCAGAATCGTGTATTGAATTTTCAAATCTTAGTTTTAAAAAAAAAAATTTTAATGAATTTTCAACTAAAGTAAATTGTAAATTTTCGTGATTTTTACGTATTTTGTTAACATTCAAACTTTCAATACTTATTAAAAAAATTGTGACTATCTATTTTTAATATTTTTTAACTACCACTATGACAATATATTATGTATTGTATTAAATTTTCAAGCATTTTTACTCAATTAATACAATTTTATTGTCATTAATAAAAAAAAAGATTGAAAATTTCCATAAATAACTTAAAAATATTTGAAATATTTGAAATATTTTGAAAATTTTATCAAAAATATAACAAATTATCGTAGATAAATGCAATTTTCATTGAATGTTTTGTACTGGAATTTAATATTTTTGATAAAATTTTTAAAATATTTCAAATATTTTTAAGTTATTTATGGACATTTGAAATTTTCAGTCTTTTTATCAAATATATAAAATTCCARTATAAACATTAAACATTCAATGAAAATTGCATGTATCTACCGTAATTTATTTTAGAGTTAAACCATTATCTAAAATCATTTTTCTCAAAAATTGATTTTGAGTAAAAATCACAGTTTTTCATAATTTTAGATTCTGAGCGGAGCGAGGAATGTATTGATTTTACCATGAAGTGTGTTTTTTTTCTGTCATCACGTTATGGAGCAATAAAAGTAMTTCGATTTTTGACTTCAGTACCTCGTTCGATCAGAAAGTGAATTTAGTTGATACTTAGGGGGGTCAAAAGTAAAAAATTATTAATATTTTTCTAAATAATCGGRATAAACAAACTAAAATTAAGGGAAAAACGATAAATTTTACGCACAATCAGTTTTCAACTAGGAACGATTTTGGTTTTTGATATAACTTTAAAATAAATGACCATACATACATGAAATTTTCCGTTTCCGCTCAGAATCGTTTTTCGTATACAATAATAAAATATCATTGGATTCAAATTTAATTCCAACCATTACAGTAACCCACTTATTGTAACCTAATGTACAGGAGAGCAACATCCACGACTACTACTTTTAGATTCTGAACGAAAGAAATTCATAAAAGTTTTTTACATGCATTCAAATTTTAATT